GACAAATACCTACTCTTTTTGAATCTGGCTTCTTTTGCGTCGAGCTGAGATATGGCCACTGCACTCCCGCTTGCACTCCAGCCTGGGCCAGACTCCGAAAAAAAAAAAAAAAAAAAAGTTCACCACTCAAACATTGCTCACTGCTTACCACTGGCATCAGAAATCTCCATCTTTCCTCTTTAATGAGTCTTCTGATTGCCTAGCATTTCATTTGGCAATGTAATGGTTAGAGAAGCAGCTAGATACTCAGGGTCTCATCAAGTCCAAGGGGTGACGTGGGAGAACTGATCAAATCACAGCAAGGCAAAGTGGGCCATATAAATAAGCAATCAACTGGGCCAGGCATTGTAGCTCACGCCTGAAATCCCAGCACTTTGGAAGACAGAGGCCAGTGGATCACCTAAGGCCAGGAGATCGAGACCAGACTGGCCAACATGGTCAAACCCCATCTCTACTAAAAATACAAAAATTAGCTGGGCATGGTGGCAAATGCCTGTAATCCCAGCTCGGGAGGCTGAGGCAGGAGAATCACTTGAACCTGGGAGGTGGAGGCTGCAGTGAGTCAAGATCGTGCCATTATACTCCAGCCTACGCAACATAGCGAGACTCTGTCTAAAAAATAAATAAGTAAATAAATAAATAAATAAGAGAGCAACTGAAAATGGAAAAGGATCGTGAAACATCAGGTTTTTAATATTCAAGTCAAGAGAGAATGACTTGAATATTAAAGGATTAAGAGATATTCTTAGGAAATCTAATGAAGTCTTGAATCCTTTCATAAAAATTACACATTTTTAGCTTTGTAGTCTAAAAGTTAAACATGACATGATGTTTAAAGACAGTAACACATTTGTATGGGAAAATTATTCCCAAGAAACAGGATAAGACTTGGCTGTCTATTCTAAGAATAAGCACCTAAATTTTATTCAATATAACTTATTTTCATAATCTGAGGTTCTTTTTTTTTTTTTTTTTTTTTTTGAGATGAAGTTCTACTCTTGTCCAGGCTGGAGTGCAATGGCATGATCTTGGCTCATTGCAACCTCTGCCTCCTGGGTTCAAGCGATCTTCCTACCTCAGCCTCTCAAGTAGCTAGGATTACAGGCATGTGCCACCATGTCTGGTTAATTTTGCATTTTTAGTAGAGATGGGATTTCACCATGTTGGCCAGGCTGGTCTCGAACTCCTGACTTCAGGTAATCCACCTGCCTTGGCCTCTCAAAGTGCTGGGATTACAGGTGTGAGCCACCGCACCTGGTGGAGGTTCTTATTTCAAAGTAACACTCCAGTCAGGAATTCCCCCTACTGATCATCTAAATATTTTATGTATATTTTAAATGCACGCATTAAAAATTGATGTATTCTAGGATAAATGCAAGCTGCTGTATACGTGATGCTGTACAGTCTATACAACTTAAACATGGAGCTTACAAGTCATCAGTTTCCTGAACACCAGAGTATTCTTGTTCCCTTATATATAACTAGGCAGAATATTGGCTTTTTCAGGTTTTTGGAGTTCTGTTTCTTTTTGTCAGAGAATGATAAAACATGATCTAGAAATCTATCTCTTTTAAGATTAATTTGCAAAAAGCGCCATAGACACAATACCTGTGAGTGCTTTCCCTTTTTTCCTATAGCAAACGCCAAAGATGATGGCAGCCACTAGGGCCACAGATGTGAAAAGAAGCAGAATTATTAAACCGGGCAAGTAAACCTGGGGTTCTGTATTGAAAGAAAATGAGAAATATGGTATTAAAGATTCTTTAATTTTACGCAGTTGAAAAACAAATCTTGGTAAATCAAACCTCAGAATGAGGTTTGGGATAGCAGAAGTGAGAGTCCCCACCCCTGGCTGCCCTTTGTCCACGAGTGCTCACATTCTGAAGGGTGAGATCCACAATCTTAGCCAGCCTGGCTCAGTCCGGTTTCACTCTACGGGAGAGCAGCCCAGGGCCACTGCGGTGTTTCTACCTTAGAACATCTCTAATCATGCTCACCACACCACCCAGTCTCATTCTGGCTAACCTCCAGAACCCTTCAGTATCCCCAGATGAATGACCTCCGCAGACAAAAGGAGTTTCTTCTATCTCTTTCCTAATAGCAACAGGGCACCAGGGCTTTGCTGGTCATGAGAACAGAACCACAGCTATCCTGTGAAATATTTCTGGAATTTTCATCCCCAACACCATGTGGACCCAACCGTTTTCTTCATCCCTCCCTGATCACTTCATTGCTAGAATCCTTGTTAAAAACTCTTGATTTACTTGACCTGGTTTCCTGGACTCCTACTTTTCCTCTCCTTCTCTTTTTTAAAATAACTTTTTATTCCTTCAGTTATATTTAATGTTATCTGCCAAACGGTCTTTAAAAAGTTTGCTCTGATTGTGTAACTCCACATCCAGAATGCTTTAATGTCTTCCTGTTTCCCAAAATGTTAAGGCCAAACCCCTGATTTCTTGGTCAAAGCCTGTTAACCCGGTTATTCTGTGGCCTATTGTTCTCTTTCCTCATCTGAAAGGTCTCCTTGCCACTTAAGCCATCTCTTCCGATATCTGGACCCGCATCTCCACACTGTCCTGTTCACCAAGTAACCAGCCTCCACCATCAACTTTCTGGCAATCTGAAACTCCACTTAAGACTAACTTAATGTGGCCATGTGCAGTGGCTCACTCCTGTAATCCTAGCACTTTGGGAGGCCAAGGTGGGTGGATTACCTGAGGCCAGGAGTTTGAGACCAGCCTGGCCAACATCGTGAAACCCCGTCTCTACTAAAAATACAAAAATTAGCTGGTCATGGTGGTGTGTGTCTGTAATCCCAGCTACTCAGGAGGCTGAGGCAGGAGAATCGCTTGAACTCACGAGTTGGAGGTTGCAGTGAGCCGTTACCATGCCACTGCACTCCAGCCTGGGTGACAGAGCAAGACTCCATCTCAAAAATAATAATAATAATAATAATTTAATCTGCAACATGTTCCATAGATGATAGCAAGATCCTAACAATTTTGGGAGATGACCAAAATCTCCTCATAGACACTTGTGACCACCATCATCCCACCGTGTCTCAGCATTTTATGTTTGCAGCTCTATTTTCTTTTTATGCATATTAAAACATGATTAGTTACCCCCAATCCAGTGTAGAAAATTATCAAGGAAACAACATACCTGGAGTTAAACTACTGATTAAAATGAAACATTGAGCTGACCGTGCACAGGATGAAACAACGGGGGAGAGGATGCCTGCAGATCCATGTGCCATCTGGGAGGGATCTAAATGATCTGACTACCCCAGGGCACATCTATCAACCGACAGGCTCGTTTTAAACATACCATTTGGTGGTTTTCTAGATGGCAGAGAAGAACTGCAAACCACATCGGATTTCTCCGTCCCATGATGTTCTACCGTCTTTCCAAGGGAGGTACAGCTGTGGCGGGGCGGGGTGGGGGGGTGGAAGGCAGTTCAGTGCTTTGGTTTTATATGCTTGTTTTTTGAAAAATGAACAAATGCAAGGCTCTCCCAGATGGCCAGCTCCTTCAGGAGAGGAACCCATGCCTTCCTGGATATTTGAATCCTCCGTGCCTTCTACAGGGAGGAGAACATCACAAGGTGGGACAAAGAAATAAGCAAAAGCAAACGCTGCCTGTGTTCTCTGACAGCTACTCAGAGAGTGTGGTCAGCAAAGCAGCAGAGCAGAGTCTTCAGGAAAGAATATTCTGGCCGTGCCCGGTGGCTCAGGGCTATCATCCTAGCACTTTGGAAGGCTGAAGCAAGAAGACTGCTTGAGCCCAGGAATAAGAGACTAGCCTGGGCAACACGGTGAAACCCTGTCTCTACAAAAAATTTAAAAATTAGCTGGGTGTGATGTACGTGCCTGGGGTCTCAGCTACTGGGGAGGCAAAGGCAGGAGGACTGCTTGAGCCCAGGAGGTTGAAGCTGCAGGAAGCCATGTTTGTACCACTGCACTTCAGCCTGGGCAACAGAGCAAGATCATGTCTCAAGAAAAAAAAAAGTATATTCCAATAGCTTCAATTACATGGTTAAGTGATATACTTTTGCTGATTGTTTTTTTTGAAAAACACAGAAAATCCTCTTGAACATAAAATTTGGATAAGTGAATCAGAAAATAAACATTTATTTATGTATTTTAATTTAATTTTCGTTGTTTAAAAATGTGAGATAGGGTCTTGGTATGTTGCCCAGGCTGTTCTCAAATTCCTGGGCTCAAGCAATCCTCCTGCCTCAGCCTCCTGAGCAGCTGGGATTACAGGCATGCACCACCACGCCTGGCAGAAAATAAATATTTCATAAGGAATATACAGGGAACTGAAAGAATCATTACGTTGATTATTAGTATTCAACAACAAGCATGAGATGAAAGCACCCATGAATTCCACTATAGATACACTCACATACGTGAGAAATCATACATAGATGAGATTCTTCATCACAAAATTATGTATTACTGTAAAAGACTGGGAACAACCTAAGTGACTATCAATAAAGAACTTATTACATAACTTACACTTCATCTCTACAATGAAATACTATGCAGCTGTGAAAAGCCACGAAAATCATGAACTGGTGAACTAATATAGAAAAAGCTTCAGCATATAATATGTGAAAAAAAAAACCCAAGATGTTTACAGCGTGCAAACATTTATATAAACAGGAGGCTTCTATATGTGTGTACACACACACACATACACACACACAAATATCTGGATGAATAAATCAGTGATGTTGGGAAGTTGGGAGAAGTAGGCATGACCACTGAATAAATGTTATAAATCATTTTCAACCAAACAAGGTTAGAAAAAGCTGCAACCATAAGTCACAGATTACCAAATCTAAAAAGTCACACGAAGTTCCTGTCACACACAGGGCTGAAGAATTAGTTTGACTGGTTTATTTCCCCCATGTTGAACTGACAGACTTTTTCCATTTTGAATGTGGCTTCAAGAGGAAGCCTAACCCAATAGAATCCGTCCGTTTTCAACCCAGACGAGACAGTGGAGGTTGAGTTGTTTAAAAACCAACCATCTCTTCTGACTCCTTTGTTGTTACTTACTTGGTCCAGGGTCTGCATTTGTCCGTGGAGGAGAAGGCGTCTGAGAAGTAGCCTGCGAGGCAAGGTTTGCACACCGTGTCCTTGTTGAGCTGCACTGTGAAAAAAAAAACAAAAAAGAAAAACCCAGACAGAACAAACACAGAACAAACGAGGTCACTTAGAGATCATCCAGGCTGAGACCCCAGAGGACTGGAGGTGAGGCGCTGCCCCTGTCTGCTCTCACCTCCCACCCCTGTGCCTACCCCGTGTCTGATTCCTTCAGCTCCCACAGGCTTGGGCCCACAAAGCAGTTCTGACCTCAGCAGTGAGTTACAGAACCACGCTTGGAAAGGTAACTGGCTCGATGTCGGACCACTAACACTCTTCTATGATGTCCAGGTCAGGCCAGCTCTGGTCCTGACCTTTTGTGGTTCAGAATCACTTCCCTGGTCACCAACACTTTGTTTCCTAGTCTGGGAGCCGGTGTTGACTGCTCCTGCTATCTGCCTCTTGTTTTTCCCTACGCACCTACGTACCTATGTGCCTGTTCAAATCAAACATTAATTTGAACAGCTTTTTTTTCCTTCTTTTCTTTTGAGACAGAGTCTCGCTCTGTTGCCCAGGCTGGAGTGCAGTGGCGCGATCTCAGCTCACTGCAAGCTCCGCCTCCCGGGTTCACCCCATTCTCCTGCCTCAGCCTCCCGAGTAGCTGGGACCACAGGTGCTAGCCCAGCCTTTGTCTGCAAGGAATGGCAGACCCATTACTACTTTGAAGGGAAACTCACTGTCCTGACCTCTTCTGATGAGCTTAATCTCCTCAGTCCAAGTATCAGAGTCTCAGTTTAAAAAAGAAGACAAGGAAGAACCCTACAGGTCTCTTTCCCTGCCACCAAGGGTTGGTATCAAACATTTTCTATAAAGGGTCATACAGTAAGTATCTTAGGCTTTGTAGGCCTGTGGTCTCTGCTGCAGCTACTCATAGCATGAAAGCAGACCAACAATACATTAAAAACAATGGATAAGGGTGTGTTCCAATAAAACTTTACTGATAAACACAGTGGCACAATGGATGTTAGACTCCTTCCTTAATGGACAGCATTGAAAGCAGGAGTTGATCCTGGTTAGTAAACTGACTTGACTCTCATATTCCTCATGAACTACACTGTCAAAATAAATGTCTCAGGTTTCCTATGCCTATTCCCTCTACTGCAATCCACGCATGATGATTCTTCGGTAAGTCCCAGGAAGAACACTGGCTGCGATGTGATATCATAATCAGGCAACTGGCTGGTGCCCAAGCCACAAATGACTCCTGAAATTAGTAGCACTTCTGTGATTTTCTTTCACGAATAAAACACTAAAAAAAGGAATTAAATTTTCTTTGTCCAAAGTCAAGTACAAAGTATATTCTTGATTTCTGCAATTTGGCTGGCTAAGTAGGGTACCTGCTCCTGCATCTAGCAATTTGATTTGCCTTGAAATCTAATAACTCACATGAATTTGAACAGGTTTTTTTTTTTTTTTTTGAAGACAGAGTCTCGCTCTGTCACCCAGGCTGGAGTGCAGTGGCGCAATCTCCGCTCACTGTCAGTTCTGCCTCCCAGGTTCACACCATTCTCCTGCCTCAGCCTCCTGAGTAGCTGGGACTACAGGTGCCCGCCACCGCGCCTGGCTAATTTTTTGTATTTTTTTAGTAGAGACGGGGTTTCACCGTGTTAGCCAGGATGGTCTTGATCTCCTGACCTCGTGATCCGCCCGCCTCGGCCTCCCAAAGTGCTGGGATTACAGGCATGAGCCACCGCGCCCGGCCAATTTGAACAGCTTTTTAAAAGAGAAGCACAATCTAGAGTTGTGAGAAGCTCTCAAAATCTAAGACGTGGGGGCTAACAGGCATGCAAAGGGTTAAGGGTGCTAATTTCCATAGCTTGACTTCCATATGACTCTTAGTAACACTGACCTGCCAGAAGCATCCTGCAGGCTCCTTTCCTTGCTCCCTTTCCTAATCACACTTTTCCCACTTTACAAAAGGCACACTTCTTACCCACCCCAGAGTTTGCTGCTATGCTGCCAAACCTCTGAGATGTCGAACTAAGTGACAAGTGGAAACACTGGTGATGGCAGAGCTCCCGCGCCCCCCGGCACACCTCCCACCTTTCCCGCTCTATCAAGGGCAAAAGCAGGATGACAGAAATGGGGCAGCTGCGATCAGGCTGAGTTGTTCTGAACTGAAATTAAGCAGGGTGGGGCAGGAGTGAAATTTCCATTCATCTACCCCTTCCCCTCTATCCTCCACCTATTTTGTCCCAAAATGAACCCATTTCCAAAGGTACGAGGCACAGAGAACGTCTAATAGAACCCCTGATGTGACATGCTGGTGAAAACCTGGAGGAAAGGCTCTGGGCCGCTTCTATTTTAGAATCAGAATTCAGAGGGAGTTGGCTGTGATAGGGAGATCTATTTTAACAATTAAAAAATCAAGTTAGACTTTTTGTAACAGAAAGCACATCTGGTTTAGTCAATGCATTTGATAATAAAGACCGAGTGTGTCAGTTAGACTCTGTGATGGACATTATCCTTGATATGAATTGAAATGGATAGTATTTTAATTCTCCCAACCCTGTCCAAGTATTTTGGGTTAAAACCAGGTGCCTCTAAGGGAATGGTTAATAGGCATAAATAATCATTTTTTAAGTCTTGGAAAAAACTGCTTTTGTTATACTTCCTAGAACTCAGGAAAGCAAATGACTCTAAGAAATACTTTTTCAACTCAAAAGAATTTCTATTTCTTTACTTTCAACAAAATTGGAGGACACAATTGAATTATCAACTGATAGATCATTAAAAATAACTTCTGATATCACATCAGTAGGTGAGCTTGGACACATAAATCAGAAGGTGCTGAAAAAAATTGAGGGACACACCTATAACCAAAGTGTTTCCTTTGCCATTCAGTTATTTATGTGAACAAATTTCTCAGCACTTACATACATAAAAAAAGTAGAAACAAAATTGATGTTGAATGCTGTTGCATTTTAGCAATAAGTAATATTCAGCCATAAATATATGAATTGGAAAAAAAAATCCCACTCCTTATGGAGGTCGGCGGTTTTTACTTTTATGATAATAATACAGCAAAATAGGATATATTCATTTTTGACCAATTGTGTAATAATAAAGGTAGTGACAACTTGGTCCAGAAGAAATGCTTTTAGTCCCAGGTCAAAGTAAATATTTAAAAATTAAGATTTCAGCCGAGTGTGGTGGCTCACGCCTATAATCCCAGCACTTTCGAAGGCTGAGGCAGGCAGATCACCTGAGGTCGGGAGTTTGAGACCAGCCTGACCAACATGGAGAAATCTCGCCTCTACTAAAAATACAAAATTAGCCAGACATGGTGGAGCATGACTGTAATCCCAGTTATTCAGGAGGCTGAGGCAGGAGAATTGCTTGAACCTGGGAGGCAGAGGTTGCAGTGAGCTGAGATCGCACCATTGCACTCCAGCCTGGGCAACAAGAGTGAAACTCCATTTCAAAAAAAAAGATAGGTGCATCTTTTTCAATAGGTGCATATTTGAATATGAAAACGTGATTAGTAAAACCCCTCCAAGGATAAAAAATATATCAGGATAAAATTCTGTGGAGAAGGATTTTTCCACAGAAAAAACAAAAGGAGAGAAAGGAATTATGTAAACTGTCAAATAGTTAAATATGATTAGTGCATTTAAAAATGAATCATAGTGGGCATCAAATGGCCATGGTGTTTACATTCCACTGGATTCGTTTCTTCAGTGTTATCGCAGTTACAATTCCCTGGTACCTAAGTCCTTATCAGTTCTTTAAACTTGTAACAAAAATTTTTAGATGTCAACTTAAAAACGTGCTGGGGTGGGGGATGCATGGTTTTGCCAAAATTCTAATGGGCGCACACTCTTTAAAAATGTCCAACCGCCCCTGCACTATCCTGCTGGCTCCTAAGTAGGGATCCTAGGTTTCTACAGATGGAGGAGCCCCAGCGTCCCCTGGCCACGGCCAGAGCATGTGGGCAAATTGCCCGCAGTCCTTTTGAAGAACCTAAGCGGAGGATTCATTCTCAGGTCTTGCCTGGGCCTGCATCTCGTGGCAAATCAGTCCCCACCTTTCCCCACCCCTCGGGTTCCTCCAATGCTGCCTAGCACCCTGGAGCTTTCTTGCTGCTATTATCAAGACTGTCTCAAAGCTGGCTTTGCATGGCTCAGCAAGAGCCTACAGACGCACACATCCAACCCGTACACGGGTGCTGGGCGCCCAGGCCCGGCGCGCACTCGGTGTTGCGGCGGCAGCACTCGCAGTCCTGGCTCCAGTGGTACCCAGCCGTGCAGGCGCAGCGCCGGGGGGCCGTGCTGTTGCCGGCGTCCACGGCCACCAGGGCCTTGCCTGTGGGAGACAAGAGACAGGTCATTAGACAGGGAGGGGCAGCCAGCCCAGACACACCGCCCACGACTGCACTATCCAACATCCAGCCCAGAACAGGCCAGACCAGCAGCCCGCCTGGCGGGCCTGCAGAGTGAATCACCAGGGCACTGCTCGAGAAGTCCCAAGTTCCTCCTCGCACTTCCTGCACTGGCACGAAAACGTCACGGGGGGTTCTTCTCGCTCTCATAATTAAGAGTTTTGTGGGCTTTTTTTAAAAGTCAATTTTCATGTTAGTAGGAAGATAAGGACTTGGGAATTGATGATCATTGAATGTTCTGGCAAATGCAGAAGGGTCACAGAGCTGAGCTTCCTCATTTTTCTAAGTTCAAATACCACATACATAAGACTAAGGCGAGTTTGGACCTTAGAGAATAAGGCTTCTGGAGGTTTAGGATTCATCTTAGGATCCTGAGGCATCCCAGGGTGAAAACAGGCTGTTGTGGAGTTACATGAGTGGAGAGGGCACAGAGGCAGGCCCAGTGACGTGCTTAGAGGCAACCTCTCCTCAAGCACTCAGGATAACATGTTTGTCTCTGTTTTCACAACACATGGCCTTCTGGTTCCAAATCTCCTGGCCCCTTCCAGTTTTTCTGGAATGCAGGTATGTATGGTTTTTCCAAAACCATGGGAATTGATCTGTTGTAAACACTACACACACACACACACACACACACACACACGTATCTGTTATAAACTACATACACACACACACGTATCTGTTATAAACTACATACACACACACGTATCTGTTATAAACTACATACACACACACGTATCTGTTATAAACTACATACACACACAAATAGGAATCAAAGTATGGATCAATCAACAGTCCTCATTATTTGCAGATTCATATTTGTGAATTCACCTACTCAATGAAATTTATTTGCACCCCAAAATCAATCCTCTTGGTAATCCTGCAGTCCTTCAGGGACAGAACCGTGTACATTTCGAGTTGCTCCACACTCAGGTTTCTGGCTGAGGTTGGGCCAGGCGATGCTCTGCCTTCTTGTTTCAGCTCACAGAAGGTAAACAAGCGTTTTGTTGGTGATTTCCCTGCTTATAACAGCCCCCAGCTGTCGTGCTGAAGAGCTGTCTAGTGTTCTAAGTGCAAGAAGGCTGTGGTGTGTCTTACGGAGAAAATAACTGTGTTAGAGAAGCTTCACTCAGGCATGAATGACAGTGCTGTTGGTCATGAGTGCAATGTTAATGAATCAACAACATGTATCAAATAAGGTGTCTTTAAACAGAAACACACATGAAACAAGGTTATGTGGTGATCAGTCCGTGACGGTGTGACTGGAGGCTTGCAGGAACCTCACCCTGTAATCCACTAGGACTAATGGCTCAGGATTTGCTAATTCAGCGTTCCTGGTGACTTTACAGAACACAGCTACCGTGCATAACCGGAGTCAACTGCACATATGTGCATGACTCCGCCCCCCAACATGATACAAACCGATAACATGATTTAAAACAGACCTTGTACCCTTCTAGGGCTCCTTCTCACCTGGATTGTCCAAACAGCCCCTGCACCTTATATTCCTGAATATTTACAGGAATTCCAAGGGAAAAACAAGCAAACAAACCAGAAACCCTCTGTCTCTTATTGTCTCAAGTTACAGCCAGTAGGGAGGGGACATTTCCTATTTCCAATCTTTATAGACCCAAGCTTAGTGACCCTGGAGAAGTCCCCCCATCTCCTGCAGTGCCCACTCTTCCAAGGCCCCAGTCAGCTCTGCAACATCAAGGTCAATACTCAGAAACATGTCCACAATGCATGGGAACGTCCACAGACACATGCCACTTCTCTGGAAAATTCCAGCTACTCCTAGGATCCCATCTGAATGTAAGCCTGGGTTGTGATGAATAATTTTGACATAATTTAAAGTATTGTATGTAATGTACCAGATTTTTGGCTTTAATCAACTTTGGCAGTAGACAGAATGAATCTTTATTTCCAAGAGACAGCAATGAGTCAAGGTCATTACTAAGCAGTAGGAAATTAAAAAGGCTTGATCAGATGCTTCTGCTCAGTGGAGTTTCCATGTTACCTTCCCCAGCCAAAATCTGCCAGCTGTCTCCAGCATATTAGAAAAATTGTGGTGTTCAAAGAAACACTTATTCTCTAATTCTGTCCACTGGGGAAAAAACTTCTATACACAAGGATCAATCCAGTAGTGAGTCTTCTCTAGAATCCAGACTGAGGTCACTAAATACAATGTTCCTCTAAAAACAATCAGGAATCCTTAGAGAAACATCTGATTATAGTTTAAGACAAGAATTATGCAAGCTAAGCATGGAAGCAATAGATGCCTGGGCTGTATCAAAACACCTGGGGCCACCTCATCGAAGTGTGACAATCTAAGCACCATTACAACCAGTTACTGCAGGCAGGGGACCGTGGCTCACACCTGTAATCCCAGCACTTTGGGAGGCCTAAGCAGAGGGATCACTTGAGGTCAGGAGTTCAGGAAGAGCCTGGCCACACGGTGAAATGCCCTCTCTACTAAAAAATACAAATGTTATCAGGGCATGGTGGCACATGCCTGTCATCCCAGCTACTTGGGAGGCCAAGGCAGGAGAATCGTTTGAACCTGGGAGGCCAAGGTTGCCGTGGGCCAAAATTGTGCCACTGCACTCCAGCCTGGGCGACAGAGCAAGACTCAAAAACAAACAAACAAACAATAACTGCAATAGACTGAAACTGAAACACCTCAAATACCTCCATAATATAAGTCCTTGGGAGAATGCTGGATGATTAAGATATTGTTTTGCAAAGTGATAAATAAGGTTAAAAGCATTTATTCTATCTTTTCTGTATGTGCTGCACTGCAGGATAAATGCTTGTAACTTTATCAATAAATAGTTGATGAGGGAAGTTTATCTTCATAAAGTATGCCAGCTAATAAATGAAAAAGAAATGAGAGAATCAGAACATCACCTTTCTGCAGCCCCTAATGGAAACAAATCTAAACCATGACCATCAGCAGCTGCTAATGTTAGAAAGAGGAAGGCTCAGCTATTACATGGTTCCAGTATTCTATGTATGAACTATATTATATATGAAGTTTGCCACAAACAAAACAAAAAACAAAGCAGAATCTGACCGGCCTTCTAGATCTAACAACCAATTTATAAGACATTGATCTAACAACCAATTTATAAGAAGGGGTCAGGCCTGTAATCTCAGCACTTTGGGAGGCCGAGGTGGGTGCATCACTTGAGGTCAGGAGTTTGAGACCAGCCTGGCCAACACAGCAAAACCTCATCTCTACTAAAAATACAAAAATTAGCCAGGCATGGTGGCACATGCCTGTAATCCCAGCTACTGGGAAGGCTGAGGCGGGAGAATAGCTTAAATCCAGGAGGGGATGGTTGCAGTGAGCCGAGATTGTGCCACTGCACTCCAGCCTGGGTGACAGAGAAAGACTCTATCTCAAAAAAAAAAAAAAAAAAAAAGAAAAGAAGAGAAATATAAGGGACAGAAGAATACATTAAATGATACCAAGGGAATGCAACCAACAAAATCTGGCCTATGGAATCTCCACAGGACTAACGTCATGGCTTCTTCAACAAATGAGCTCAATGGAAAAAGGAAAGAAGAGAGAGAAAGGAACCTGTGTCTCTTAAGAGAATTAAGAGACATGTTTTGCTCCTGATTCCTTCAAATAAACTATACTTTAAAAAACATTCCAGGCAAAAAACTTAAGGCAGTCTGGTAAGGAGATGAAACTGTGTTAATAAAATATTTATAGTTTAGGAAAAAGGTCAAGAGTAGACCTGGTTTTGAGTCCTGCTTCACATGTGTTAACCTTGGAGAAGTTATTCAACCTCTCTGAATCTGTTTCTCAATCTTTAAAAGGGATAGGCCGGGCACGGTGGCTCACGCCTGTAATCCCAGCACTTTGGGAGGCCGAGGCGGGCTCATCATGAGGTCAGGATATTGAGACCATCCTGGCTAACACAGTGAAATCCGTTTCTACTAAAAGCACAAAAAATTAGCCGGGCATGGTGGGGGGCGCCTATAGTCCCAGCTACTCAGGAGGCTGAGGCAGGAGAATGGCATGAACCTGGGAGGTGGAGCTTGCAGTGAGCTGAGATTGCGCCACTGCACTCCAGCCTGGGCAACAGAGCAAGACTCTGTCTCAAATAAATAAATAAATAAATAAAATAAAATAAAATAAAAGGGATAAGTATGGCTACCTACAGGGTTTGGAGGAGGATTAAACCACACAAAATAGGTGGGAACATTATGGAAACATTATGTCAAGTCTATGATGTGTCCCATGATTAAATGGCAACATAAATATATTCCAGAACAAATGTTCTAAAAGAAGAATTTTAACATCGGCCTTGGGGATTTAAAATGCATCTTTCTTGGGATCTGTAGTCACAACTTCCTTCCATGTTCCTGAAATGAAACATTATCGGTTGCCTCTAAAAATGTTTCTACAGAAAAAGAGGTCTGAGGTTTCTACACTTCACACTGACACGACAGGCTCACCTGTATCACAAACTTTATGCAGCAAGCATTTATCTTCCTCATTCCAGGTATCCAAGTATTCATCCGGGCCACAGGGCAGACATACACTGTCAGAGGTAGTAGTGCATTTAGAAGACATGTACTTTCCTTTAAAAAATAAAGGGGAAAAATACAACCATCAAAAACCCAAACCATAACAGCAACACAAAGCAAAACAGCAACAAAAATCGCACCCATCTATGGGACCAGTAACCACTGGTGCCCATGATCCCAGGACACCCCCCAAAGACGACATGACACAGGAGAAGAGGCCACAGTGCACAGTGACTGCAGCACCCTGGGCTCCTTGGGCCACACAGCTGGCTGAAATAACCCCACCTGGGTCTGCTGAGCCTGTGGTCACAGCAGTTTCTTAATTCTTCTTAAGTAAAAAGTCAACCACCCTCTGCACCCAGAAAGTCTGCTAAGGAACAGAATGATGGGTCAGGCACGGTGGCTCACACCTGTAATCCCAGCACTTCGGGAGGCGGATCACCTGAGGCCAGAAATTTGAGACTAGCCTGGCCAACATGGTGAAATCTCGTCTCTACTGAAAATACAAAAATCAGCTGGGCGTGGTGGCAGGTGACTGTAGTCCCAGCTACTTGGGAGGCTGAGGCAGGAGAATTGCTGCTGCCTCAACCTCTGGGAGACGGAGGTTGCAGTGAGCTGAAATCATGCCACTGTACTCCAGCCTGGGCAACACAGCAAGACACCGTCTCAAAAAGAAAAAGGGGAAAAAAAAAAAAAAGAATAGAACGATGATTTTAAACTGGGCCGCAGAACTTGAAAGATTCCCCGGAGCCCACTCAGGGAATAAGGGGGGTAGGCAAGAGAAACTGCATCACCCATCCCCTCTCCCCTCTGCCTTCCATCTGGATAGGCAACTTTATTAACTTCTTTTTGTTAACTTCTTCTACACTTACTACCGGCTCATGGTTAGCTTCGTTTGACCAAGTGTCACGCTGCGCCCCACCCACCTACCCAACACACACTTGACAATCACTGGATCTTGGTTCTGCACATCCAAGAAATAACTGTAGCTGAAATATCCAAAATATCTTGTTATAAGGTAACCCACCTTCCCCTCCCCGCATGACGAGAGCGCGGGCCCCGTGGACTGTGGCTTTCACTGGGGCTGTAGACACTCAGCCACACCTTCTGGCAGAGCGACTTGGGGTAGGTGGTAGCCAGTCCACCTTCTGCTCCTCAACAGGTGTACGGAAAAAGGTACGACAAGGGTTTAGGCAATTTTTAGCAGCCACAATTCCAGTATGGTTATTCCAAAATAAAATTTCCGTGAAAACAATTTTAAATAAGAGCTGCATTTCACATTTTGAGAGTTTGACTCATAAAGTGCTAAAATATTAGTTTTAAAAAACTTCTTGCCATCTCAAGAAATAGGGTTTTAGAAAATTGTGTTTCAGCCCAAATTAAGCAACAGCTTTTAAAGTTGTTTGTTTTTTTTTTCAAAAGGGATTTTAAAATCCCTTCAAATCTCTATTGAGAGAAAGATTGTTGTCTTCAGAGTGACAGACATTACCACCTGCCACTACCATAATGCGTCTGTCCAATTTCTTGTTTCATCTGGCAGCAAGAAAAAATAACAACGAAAGCCTCACCCACTGTTGAGGGGCAATGCAAGGTGGCTCAGAAGCAGCTGTACCTGGTTCACATTTGTTACAGCACCGTCCCAGATGCTCATAATGCCGCTCACTGGTACATGGAGGAGCGATCTGCAGAGCCACCTGAAAAGAACACTGAGGTCAGGCAGAGAGTCCACACAGCCCTTTCTGGATAAAACTAGGTAAAACAAAAAGTGAATCACCACATTACTTTTTTCGTTGTTGTTGAGATGGAGTTTTGCTCTTGTTGCCCAGGCTGGAGTGCAATGGCGTGATCTCAGTTCACCAGAACCTCTACCTCCCGGGTTCAAGCCATTCTCCTACTTTTGCCTCCTAAGTAGCTGAGAGTTGAGATTACAGGTTTTGTTTGTTTGTTTGTTTGTTTGTTTTGTTTTGTTTTTTGTTTTAGACAGAGTCTTGCTCTATTGCCCAGGCTGGAGTGCAATGGCACAACCTCACCGCACTGCAACCTCTGCTTCCCAGGTTCAGGCAATTCTCCTGCCTCAGCCTCCCAAGTAGCTGGGACTATAGCCATGCACCAGCTAATCTTTGTATTTTTAGTAGAGATGGGGTTTCACCATGTCGGCCCCTTGAACTCCTGACCTTAGGTGATACACCTACCTTAGCCTCCCAAAGTGCTGGGATTACACTTACCTTTTAACATGTTAAACACTCAGAGAATTTTAAAAAGCCGAGAAAGTAAGGTGTTGTAGGGGCTTCCTGGGCTCCGCCCTCACTACCTGTTGCCTAAAGGACTGCGGGAGCTGTTTAAGCTTCCTCAGCCTCTGGTTCCCTTCTGGTTCAAAAGGGTATGATTCTAAGACAAATACCAATTTCTGAATCCGCCCATCTGAGTAAAACAAAAGAAAACAAAGCAGCCCAGGCGCCTGTAATCACCCAGATTCTTATCAGTTTGCCACAGAAAAGCTCTTTTCCTGATCAGCATTCTTGGTGTGAGCAAAAAACAAACACTCCTGTTGAGAAGCAGTCATGTCAGAAACCGAAGAGTTGGGCTTAGCTGAACAGACATCTACGTATGCACGCCACACTTGAAATTCATGCAAGTTCCCTGCTGCATCCTCGAATACAGGGTCACAGACCTTCCCCTCAAGGGTCTTAGAATGGAATGAAACACATACCAGATGGGCCCTACCTCAGCAGTGGTGGGAAGGAAGCAGAAGCGGCCAGGAAGGCTTCCTAAGGGAGGTGGTAAGTAATCAGTCTTCCAAGATAAACAGAAATCAGCCAGACCAGGAAACAGAAACTGGCAGGTGGAGGTAGCGGGAGGAAGTAGGAAGACTTTGGACAATATGAACAGTTCGAACAGGGGCAATGAGGCCTGAAACAGCTCTTGGGTGGCAATAGGAGACCTTCAGTCCAGCTGGAGCCCAGTGTCACAAAGGCAGTCAGGGGAGGGCTTCATCTGCACATTAAAGTGCTCGGATGGAGGGCACAGAGATAACATGGCTTGGAAGAAGCCATGCGTCCTCAAAATAGCTCCATTACAGAAGGCAGCTTTATGAAGAAAGCAGCAAACCCAGGAAAGCCCAGTGAGTGTGAGGCACACAGCTATCATGGACCTTTCTGACCTCACCCTGGCCAGCAAAGGGCTTATGAGGAGTCTGAGGTCGATGAGAAGGTCCCAGTGTGTTATTGGGGTGATGTATGCCAGGAAGGCTGTACTTGGACTTGCTTCCTGGGCCCTGCTAACACTCCCCATGGACACTGGATAACACAATCGGATGCTCCCCATGTATTCACTGGGTGACAGAGTCTTAGGGAAGCTGCATTGAGCCCAGCGGACCGAGGAAGAATTGCTTAAAAGAAGCCACCATACCTCTCCCTTCTGAGGTGTTTTTCGAGGTGTTTTTCTCTGTTTTAGATGCCACCCTTCTCTGTCTCCCTCTGTGTGCAATGTACGTGCAAAGAAAGAGGCAAAGTGGTAAAACTGATGCGGCCACGCAAACTGGGTCAAAAAGGTGGATTCATCCGAGCCTAAGGATTCCTGAACATTGTTGCAATGCTGATGACAAGGGCAAACAGGATAAATACGAAGTTGGACTATATTTCAGATGACAAAGGGTATTAATTGCTTCTGATCCCTTAAGGGGGCAGCCACAGACTCAGTAAAATGAGCACATACTTTGTGTTATAGACACAGAAAGGTACATACTTTGTGTTATAGACACAGAAAGGTACTTTTTAGGGGAATTTGGTAAATGGGATATCCCTGAAGTAGCTGCTTAGGGGCACTGTCAAGATGTCACAGGCTGTGTCCCGGGCTCCAAGCCCTGGTGCCTGTTGAGTATATCTGACCTGAACATGTAGACAATTCACTCCATGTTTAGGAGTATGGCTGTGATTCATTCAACCCACCGATTGTCCAACCCAGGAGCTTTGCACCTCTTCAAAGAAACAAGGAAGTCACTGCTTCCACAAATGACCAGCTGTCCTAACTTTTAATTGATTTTCAAAGATATAAAATCCATTTCTCTCTCCTAAGCTTCTACCTCACTATGACTTTTCACCTGAATGTGACTCTCCCCCCCTCAAAAAAAAAAATTGAGGTATAATTCACGGACCATAAAATTAAACCTTTTAAAGTATACTTACTGTTCAGTGGTTTTTAGCACTTTGGCAAGGTTGGACAACCATCACAGCTATCTAATTCTTGAAGATTTTCATCACCTCAAAACTGACATGTCTACTTGACAGAGCTATAGGATTACAGATCTTCGAAGCAGCAGCAGAAATTTTGCTGCTGGGAAAATTGCTATGGTAAGGCAGAAAGATATGCTTTTAATTTCATTTAGGGTCCAGCTTAAGCAGAAACCTACTTTGTTCTCTAGTTACATGATATACTTCGAAGTATACCTTCAAACCTTCAATATGGCAATATACATACACCTTAAAAGGCAGCATAAGTACACATATTTAAGGGAATGTGGTTTGCAGGTAAAGAAATCTGGAAAACTAGATTGTTGGTTCATGCCGAAGACAAAGCATGCCTTTATTGTCCCTTTTCCTCTTCCTTTCTGGCTCTCTGCTTCCATCGTTCTTTCCCTCCACTTGCGGACCCTTTTCCTCCCCATACAGCCTGTAAAGCGTGCCCTGTGCTGGTCTCATTCTAATCTCATGCCCCAGTTCCAGCAACAAACCGCCTGGTGAGCGCTGTGCACTGCAGCCCCGTGCTTATAACTCTTAGGAAATCCAGTGCTTCTTTCACTCCAGCCTGTCTTGCTCTGCCAGGCACCTGAGGACCGACTGACTTGTCCCTCGATGCTGCAGGCCAGACTCCTGACACCCAGACTGTATCTGGAGTCCCACATGCTTGGGCTCAGTTTCCCATGAGACTGCCCTGGATCTGTTTCCTTATAGCAGTCTCCCTCTTCCTGGATGGCCTGTCAGGTTCATCCTCTGGGTGTCATTTGTGTGTGTGTGTGTGAATGAACAGGTGTCCCTGCCCCTCCCAGTCTGACCTCTCATTTTGCCTACAGTATTCTGGTTCTGATGTCTACCATTTCACTAACTGCCCTGCCAGCCAGCAGCTGGCAAGAGCCTGAAGATGGCTCCAGATCCTCTTGGCGGTGGCCCCTCTGGGCTTCTGCCTTTCCCTTCCATCTGCCCAGAACTTCAGCCAGACTCTATCCTCCAAGACCAAGCTCCCCACGGTTGCAAAGTGGTAGCTATTATTATTGGTAGCAGCCCTAGTAAAGCAATCATTTGATAAAAACATGGTCCTGCTTAAGTATTCTTAAGGAGTCTCCTAGGGAATGGCGGAATTTGGGCATAAGGCCCCAGATCTTCAGTTAATAGAGTGATTTTGTCAGCCACTTACAGTTGCCTCTTTTTCCCCAAGATGCAGCAAGGAAAAGCCTTTGATGACTGAGTTGAGATGTACAGGCTTTTATTTACTGAGATTTTTCTAGTTCACCTTTAAGACTGATAGAGTCAAAGCTTCGGAATCGCAGTTGCCTTCATGAAGCAAATAAAGCATAAATACCTCAAAATTTTTATTTATTGCATAGGGAATATAGTCCCATGATACAAAATTTAAAACGAGCAACAGCTTGTTTAGGAAATTCTGTCCCACTCTCTCCCAGTCACTCTTCTCCATAGGTAACCCATGTTACCAGCCATTTTTTTGGGTGCATCCTTCTGGAGGTGAAAGGAGAATGAACTTGTGATCTAATCCAGGGCCTATTCTACATCACAGCAGCCTTGGGGGCTGGCTGGGATCAGGTTGCTCTCGTGTTTTGCAGAATATAATTTGACTTCTTAGAAGTCTTGTTTAGAAAAGCAGCCATGTATTGATAGAGTATAGTGCTTAATCAATAAGCTACAAATATTCTCTTTGGTCCACAGAATCTATATCAACTAACCTATATTCTGACAGAACTCACCAGAATTAATAAGGAACATTAGAGTTTGTTTATAGCAAATATTCTCTGCACATACAAATTCCCCCTACAAATTCTTTGCTAAATCTAAAAGAAGGAGTTAAAACAGCAAGATGATTTGACTTCTCTTGCTTCGCTCCCTTGTGTCTTTTTGTGTCTTCTACGCATTTGTTTCAGGACATACAGGCTGGTGTTTATCTTAACGGCTGATGGACTCTTCTAGAATAACCATGTCCACAGTCTGTGCAAGGCTTTGGGAGGGCGGAGGGAGATAATAAATTTGAAATTAAAAAATCCCTTTATAAAGCAATGTGGATTTATTTCCCAATGCAAAGCCATGTTGAGTCTAATTCTGAAAAACCATAAGCTGAAGAAACATAACATTTCTGCCAGTGGAGCCACAGAGACGAGCGGATCTGTATTTAGAATCCTGCAGGGAAGGTTGACTTAAATATTTATTTTCCATGCTGTTAACCCAATTGTCGTGCAAGTCATTATGGATACTAAAATTACTTTCTTGCTCCACTGAAAATTCATGCTGACATCGAACAATGCAGAAAGAGGCTTGGCCCCTCTTGTCAAATCGAGATGAAAAGAACGTAACCTAGAAGAACAAATGAGGGATTTTCCATAGATTTTGTTTTATAAAATATCATCCATGACTATATTTCAGAATTTGGCTATAATTTCAGTAAGGATGGTATCAAATTTCTGAACGTTACAGTAGAGTCGAAAGATGTGGTTTTTCTTAAGAGTGAAACGATTAAATGTAAAAATAACACTTCACTTAACAGCCCTGCTGTCCCGGAAAAAAATATCCTTAAAGAAAGTCACTATTGAAACTGATCCTACCCAGAATAGAATAGAATACAAATAAATTACTAGCGACCTGTGTGCCCAAAACACTAAAAGAGCTTCTTTAAATAAGACAGTCTTACCCTAAGGAATTATTTCTCTTTGAAGAACTTTGTTTTAGAAGTAAATAAACAATAAACATACAAAAGGTAATATTAATACATCAGAGTAACCTACAAACAGATGCTGTTGGTTCTTGTCCGTTTCTTTGAATGTCTTTTTTTCTCAGCCAGCTGGGCTAACGGGCGGGCGAGAAGGTCTCAGTTTTTCTCCCAGTCACAAGTGTTTCCATTAATGAGTCAAAATATAGACCCTTTGAATTCAGATGTTCTGGGCGATCCCTCCTGGTCTGCCCCTTCTTTAGCTGCTTTCTCCAGCTAACTTTATCTCTATTTTATCCAGCTCTCTATTCTGGATCATGGCACAGTCCTGTGCCTGTGAATGTAAGGAAAACGTCCCATCATGGAGATTCTCAGCAAAACATTCATAACCAGGAGTGGAAATGATGCAGGAATCATTTCCCAGAGACCAGATGGGGTGGATTCCTATTCAAAGAGTTAAATGACAAAGAAAAGAAAGTCTGATATGACAGAATATAGGAATTTTTTTTTTTTTTTTTTGAGACAGTCTTGCTCTGTCACCCAGGCTAGAGAGCAGTGGCATGATCATAGCTCACTGCAGCCTTGACCTCCCAGGCTCAAGAGATTCTACGGCCTCAGCCGCCCGAGTAGCTGGGACCACAGGTGCCCACCACACGCTGGGCTAATTTTTGTATTTTTTGATAGACACGGGGTTTCATCATGTTGCCCAGGCTGGTCTTGAATCCCTTAGCTCAAGAGATTTGCCCACCTCAACCTCTGAAAGTGCTGGGATTACAGGCGTGAGACAGCACACCCAATCTGCATATGGGAATTTTCGCAAAGCAGAGGTAAGGGCGGGGAGAATTCAGGTTGGAGGAGGAGACAAGGTACCTCGAGCACTGGTGACAAGAGTAAGAAGTAGCCTGGCCAGGTAGCCCCCAAGAGCTGAGTGGGCTTCAGGGCAGGAGTTTGCTACCCAAGGCAGCCCTCGAAACTGGGCTTCCAGTTTGACCCGGAAAGAAGAATGCCTGATATTTCTTTAGTAAAACTGACTACGTTTCTAAAATCTCAGGACAAAAAAAAAAAAAAAAAAAAAAAAAAAAAAGGCCATTCTCAGCCTGAGTCTCCTCACCTGTACAGTAGCGCTAGTAACTGTGCCCATCCTGCAACACTGAGAGGCAGATGCGAGAATTTCTAAACATGATGTGGCACTGGCAAGTGGCCATATTGCACAAACACAAAGCTTCTGCCTCCTCAATTCAAAGCTGAAGACTTTTATAGTAGGCTGCTGGGAGAAGGGAGATGTAATCGCATCACACCCCAGTGCAGTGGTCTGCATCCAGCAGAGGAGGGGTATTCATGGGCACAGCTGAATGGAATTAGTGAAAGTATACATAACTTCCATCCAGTCATTCCCC